GTTTTATTTATGAGGAAAGTTCCTCTATTTATACACATAAATTACACATAAATACTATTTACTTTACATAATTGGCCGACAAACTTTTTACATGATTGACCGACAAACTATATACTTTACGACTTTTGTACATTGGCTTTTTTCAGCCGACGCAAGACGATAAAAATTAAAAGACTCTTACTTTATACATATGGCTGATATTCAACCGACACAATAATACATATAATACTTTATACATATGGCTATTATTCAGCCAATAATAACTTCTTTTTTTTTTGGAACAGAGGGATATTTAATCACTAATATTCATTCCTCTACCATAAATATATATAATTAGGTAACAAATAACATATGCTCTGATGCAAATCAAACACTTAGTTTGCAAGATCATTGAATTGATTTGTAATCACATACAAAGACGATTGAACTACACCATATATATATTATTATTAAATTAAAGCCAATCGAACGTGTTACAGAAGATATATAATTCCAAAACCACTTAACTTATCTTCTCGCTGACATAATAAGAAGAGAAATTAAAAGATTTTTTTTATATATAGAACATAAGTTTTTTAGAAGAATATAATATATACATTGCAAGCTGCATCATGAAATCTTATATTATTGATATACTATATAATGGATCTGTTGAGATGATTTTCGGTAGACCTTGTTTTAGGAAGAAGAATCATATAGCAGACGAGATAGTAAGAGATGACGCTGATAACACACACAGTAACGACAAGACCAAGTGAATGTGATAAAGTAGCATACATACCTGTTGCAAGTGAAACTACACCTGCTGACATCAACAGAAGCTGCAACAAAGTTGCATTATTATAAAGCTGGACAATAACTTGTAACTCTGATATTGTTATTGTTGCAATGTAAAAGTAGACGAACACAGAGAATGTTAAGGCGATGATATCTGAAACAACAAATGTATGGAATGCTCTTCTCGTTAATAGAATTATCATCCCTCCTTTCTTATCGCTTTCAAAAACTCCAGCTCGTAGTGTGAAACCAGCTGTGAAGGTCATTGTCATAATACACTACTAAAAAAATAGTAAAAAGAGACTAACAAAAGAGACCTTATGAGGTCTCTTTTCCGAAAAAAGAGACCAAAAAAGAGACCTCAATGGTAGGTCACAATTATGTAGGTGACTTTTTTTAGTAGATACCTCATGAGGTCGCCCAATGGAGACCTCACGAGGTCACCAATAAATTGTCCGATTTTTTTAAAAAAAGAGACGTCATGAGGTTGCAATTTCATGATTTACTTTTTTAAAATTTTTTTAATTAAGGTAACTTCATGAGGTCACTATTATATTATTTCTTTTGATTTTATATTTTCAAAAAAGAGACCTCGTGAAGTCTCTTTACTTCAAAAATAAAATGATGAATCGAGACCTCTTGAGGTCTCTTTTGTGATGCAAAAAGAGACTGCACAATGTCTCTTTACTGTATTGGTAAAAAATAAAATGTTGAATAGAGACCTCATTCATGAAAAATTTTACTTTATCAGGTCTATTTATTGCATTTGTAAAATACAAAATGCTGAATAGACACCTCATGAGGTCTCTTTTTTTAAAATTCTAGAAAATAAAATGCAGAAGAGAGACCTCATGAGGTCTCTTTCATGAAATTTCTGGAAAATAAGATGCAAAAAAGAGATCTCATGAGGTCTCTTTACCTGGAAAAAAAACTGACAGGTAATTGTTATTTCTGCAGCTTTCATCACCTGTCATATTGATTCAATACATCTCTAATTAGCTAAATCAAGCTCAAAGAGCTTCAAACAATCAACTGATGCAATACATTTATTAAATTTTTTTTATCGACTCAATTGCAATTCACCTTCAACATTGTCGAAATTAAACAAAAACCACAATATCCATAAGTTTAATATAATATATTTCAATGTTATCATGCATTCACAAAACAAATAACTCCCATAACAAAATTATAAAGTAAAGAACTTAGATTATCTATCACAACTCTAAACTTCACTATTGTGGTAGTCTGTTTGTCACATGATCATCATCTTCTTCATCACTACTAGACTCATCTGTCATATTTCTTTGTTGACCATACACTGGAAATCGAGTAAGTTGAGATTGAGGGGGTCGAGGAGGGAAAGTGACGTCACTGGAGCAAGGGGGAATCCCTCCCGATGCAAGTAATGCATCGAATTGAGCCTTAAGATCCACAAACTCTAAGTCCCGTCGCCTTTCCCTAGCCCGCGAGTGTTCAACTTGGCTAGATAGCTCAACAATCTTTTGCTCCATAGCCAAATTTTTCTTCATCGATTCATCATCATAGGAACTATTTAGGCCTTCAAACTCAGAAGAATATTCAAGAAATGTTTGTTGCGGCATTTCATATCCATACCCATATCTACTCGGTCCATCAATCAAGTCTAACCATACTCTCTTAGCATGTTCTTGAGTAAGTGGCATACTTCGATTTTTCTTTTGGCTAAGTTTGTCGTAAATCCTCTAAAGTTTGAAGATATCGATTTTACATTGAATGGTATTAATATTAGATTATAAGTTTAAAAAATAAGTTACTATTATTTTAAATTAGAGTCTTACATAGGTCACTTCAGCTCGCGGCTCAACCCACACGTCTGGATCTTCGGGATTTTTCTTCTTTCTTATGTGTGATGCCTTGAATGCCTCGGTATGAGTTACCGGTCTTCCTAGTTCCTTTTCCTAAATATAAAACTAATTCAGTTATAATCAAGACTAATTAAATATCAATACCTGCAATATATAAAAACTTAAAGAAAACTGATACATACCAATTTCCTCCTTACACTTCCTTGACTTTGAGCCCCACTTGTGTGTAGAGAACCACCCTTAGTATATGATCTTGCCTTCTTACCGATCTTACTCATTTGCTAAAATCTTGGATCATTTGCCCAATGCACTAGTAATAATTTTCCAATCATCCAATAAAATCCACTTAAGTTTCTAATTATTTCTACGAGCTTTATTCAACAAACTAGCAAGAACACGCGCAACTTCCTTTTCAAAGTTTGCACAAATTTTGGCCTCATGTTTCGGACTCCAAGCATATTGTTTCTACAATAAAGCATAAATTTTTTAATTAATAAGTATTATTGAAGACAAGTATTTTAATAGTGTTAAACAAATAAATTTGAATATACCCTGAACTCCAAAAATATTTGTCTCTTCAGATTGCTTGGCATCTTGAACCAAGTAGGAAAAGCATCTCTATAGAGATCTTTGATTGCCTGAGAAAGATCCCCATAGCATCATCTGGATTGAAACTGTAATACAAAGTTTTAACAGTTACAGGTTAAAACAAAAAAATTAAATGAGATAATCATAAACATAAGATATTTTGTAAAAAACTTTGTGTATAGTCGTCAGGCTCGATGACAACTCGATTATACATATCCCTCACGCCAACATTTGTAATGACCTGACCAGGTGTAGCTGAATGATTTGTGATAAGAGTGTTAGGCTCAGAACTATTACCTTGAATACGAAGACTCGAAATTCCAAGTTGTGAAGTAGATGATGATGAAGGTTGTGAGTCTGCAGGGTTGTGAGTTCTAGTGCGAGAGACACTAGACGTTGGCCGATTAGCTTCTGGAGGCAGAACATTGTGTCCATGTGGGGTATCATACCCTGATGTAGGCATCATCACAGGCACCTAAGGGGGCAGCTGAGTATATTCCAATGGTGGATGCATATAGGTCGAAGGAGGATTAATATATGGAGACACAAGATTGTCTGGCTCGGTCTGCCTAGAATAGCAATGTGTCGGAGTGTCTCTTGGTGGGAGAGATGTGGTGGTGTCTAATCTTATATGTATCCCTGTCGGTCGTCTGCTAACTATACCATCTTTCTTTTTTTCTTTTTAGGGAAATTATCAATATCTTTATTCTTATTTCCACCTACCATCTAATTAGTAACAAAAACATTCAAGTCAAAATAAGGTTAGATATTTATGTAACAAGTAAAGTCTCAATTAAAATCAACTAACGGTGAAACTAAATTAACTACGGGTGTATTTTGGTATATTCATGAATGTTTGTTATGTCAGTTCATCTATCAAATAAGAGCAACTTCAACGAAAAAATAAGTAAATTTCAAGTTCTCAGGAAACCAAGTTATCTTATTCAAGATTGGGGTAGAAGAGTTATGCACATATACATGTTCTAGTTATTCTGATTTTTTTTTGGGGGGGATAATTTTCATCTTACAGAGAAAGCATACAAATTCTAATATATTTGTTAAGTGTGCTCAAAGAGAAGGAGAACGTTACTTCATACTAATTATTATTCTTCCTCATCCTCATCCTCATCCTCATCCTCGTCCTCGTCTTCATCATCATCTGCATCCTTATCCTCGTCCTTATCCTCATCCTCATCCTCATCTTCCGACAATTCTTCTTCATCTATCCAATCTTCCTCATTAATTGATGCATTTTCTCCTTCATCTGTTATTTCTTCTATATCAATCTCTTAATATGTGTTTAGGATGCTCTAAATCATTTTCTAATTTAACATCCACGGTGTGGTGAACACTTGATAAATCATCATCTTGGTATGCAACATCCAACGTGTTTTCAACTTCCACACGACCCATGGGTTTGATTTTAATCACCACCCACCAATCAGCTTTATCTGGACGCATAGGATAAGGAGCATAGTACACTTGCTTAACATTTTGTGTAATAATAAAAGGGTCAAATGCTTCATATTATCGTGTGCTTTACTTCAATGATATTATATTTTCTGATTTCTCTCGTACCTCTTTTTGGAGTTGGATCAAACCACTTGCATCTAAACAATACAATTTTTTTTGTAGGCCAACCAGTTAACTCCATTTCCAAAATCTCCTTGAGTACCCCATAATAATCAACTCCATCTTAATTTCCATCACTGCCTTTCACCCAAACTCCACTATTGTTAGTTTTATATATTTGGAGTATTCTACAGTATTGAATTTAAAACCATTGACAATATACTTGTTCATCGAATTAATCTTGATGGGTCCCCAAGAAAGGTCCTTCAAAAATTAATCAAACTGGCCATTTTTTGTGTCATAAATCTATGAATATTTGAAAAGTAGGATATTAGCTTCAATTAAATATAGATTTATTTAATAATGATAGTATTATGAAAATATTATAAGGCTTATGTAATCTTGAAACCACTTTGAGAAATGCTCAAACACTTTTTCATTGCCATATAAATGCACAAAGTAACTGTCAAATAAGATGGATATAGAGTTGATTGTTTTGCCTTGTAATTACATATTCTAGTGCAAAAAAAAAAATACTCAAGAAATGGTTTAACTTGTGGGAAATTCAACAAGACATGTGTAGATGCAGACTGAAACTCAATGGCACTAAGATTCCTCTAACCTTTGCCTGGTTGATTGAAGATTGATAGTGGCTTCATAGTCTCACCACCATCGTCATGGCGATTGGATCTATTTTGAAAGCATGGCACACAACTTTCAAAGTAATAAGAACCAAAATCAGTTATCTCCCTAGCAAAATGGAATTGAATCATTGAGCCTTCAAGTCTATGATTTTTTTCATGCCCCGTTTAGACTTTCCAATAGTCCTACTTTATATTATATTGTCATTGATTTAAATAACATATTAATATAAAAATTTTATGAGTTAAACCTTACCTCTCAAATGGATACATCCATCTATATTGAACCGGACCTTTGAGGCGTGCTTCATGCACTAGATGTATAGGAAGATGCTCCATCACATCGAAAAATCCAGGTGGAAGAATCTTCTCCAACTTATTTGTAATTATAGGAATATTCTGATCCATCTGAACTAGGTTGTCTTCCCTTAACGTATTATAACACAAGTCCTTGAAGAAAAAACTAATTTCAGTCATAGGTTTCCAAATTCTATCGGGCAAGCCACTAAATGCAATGGGGAGTAATGTTTCCATAAAGACATGACAATCATGACTTTTCATACAACGTAATTTCCATGCTCCATATCGACACATTTACCTAAATTTGAAGCATGTCCATTAGGCATCTTGTGTTGCTCGATCCATTCACATATTTTACGTTTTTGATCCAATGTAAATGAATAACTAGCCTTGGGCTTGAAGAACTTCTTGTTATATTTCTCTTGCAACCATAACTCTTTTCGCCTGCAATATTCTGGTAAGTCTATTTTAGCTTTAACATTATCTTTTGTCTTGCCATTGACATCCAATATTGTGTTAAATAAATTATCAAAGTAATTTTTTTCAATATGCATGACATCAAAATTATGTCGAAGAAGATTATTCTTCCGATATGGTAACTCTTAGAATATGCTTTGTATTGTCCAGTTATGTGCAACACCATATCCATCAAATTTGTAGGGTTGTTCTTCTGTAACCTTTGGAAAGTGTTGAACCCTCTCCCAAACTTGTTCTCCAGTCAAGATTGGAGGAGGACAACCTTGTTCAACAGTATTCTTTCTGAATACATTTTTCATACTCCTAAACTCATGATCCATTGGCAAGAACTGTCGATGACAATCAAACCAAGAATTTTTACGACCATGCTTCAAAGTGAATGATTTAGTATTTTTCATACAGTAAGGACAAGGTAGCTTTCCCGCTGTCATACACCCTGACAACATTCCATATGCAGGAAATAATAGTCCAGATTAAGGCAGCCCACAAACTAAAATTTTGCTTAAGAGACATATCAAATGTTTCAATCCCTTAAACCCACAATTGTTTCAACTCGTCAATCAAAGGTTGCAAGTATACATCAATCAAGACTTTTGGATTACGTAGGCCAGGAATGACACAATTGAGAAATATATATGTACTGGTCATACACATCTCAGGTGGAAGATTATATGGTGTTACAAATACAGGCCAACAAGAATATGTTGCAGCAGAAACAGAATGTGGCGTGAATCCATCTGAACATAAACTCAATCTAATATTCCGTGGTTCGGTTGCAAACTATTGATATGTTCTATCAAAATGCTTCCAGGCCTCTCCATCGGATGGATGACACATAACTCCAGGTGCTCTTCTATTTTCATGGTACCATCTCATATGAGGAGCAGATCTATTAGATGCATACAACCTCTTTAACCTTGGTATAAGAGGTAAGTAATGCATTGCCTTAATAGAAACTTTCTCGCCACTAGCAGTCTGCTTATAACGAGATTTTCCACAAAACTTACACGATTCTAGATTAATATCATCCCTCTAGAATAACATGCAACCATTTCCACAACAATGAATTCTCATCGATGATATTCCTAACTTTGATACCAACCTCTTTGACTTATAGAAATTATCATGTATCTCTAGATTTGGGTCAACTAAATCATGAATAAGGTCAATCATAGAGTCTATTGGCCCTTGAGGAATATTCCAATTTGATTTGATACTTAGTAATCTAACCACAATAGACAACTGCGAATGTGGACTCCCCTCATATGAAGGTCGACTAGCAGCTTCCAACTGTTCAAAGAAAATTTTACATTCAGTATTAGGAGCTTCTTCACCTTGATTACCAGAATCAAAATCAGAATACACCCTAAAAACATCTTGAACCATGTCATGCATTCTATAATTTTGTGCATTAGAATTCACAATGCTACTACTATCATTAGGAATATAATGTTGAAATACATCAAAACTATTATCAATTTCTCCATAACTAGTCCACACTGTGTATTTTTTTTAAACTCATTTCGATAGATATGAAGCTCAACAATATCTGATTTTTTATAATTCAAACATTGGCATTTATTACAAGGACACTTAATCATACCACTACGTTGAAAGGATCTAATGTCTTTGCATACTCCACAAAAGCAGTGACACCTTCTACAAATTCAGGTCTTAGACCCATTCGATCAAAATTAATCATATTACACATCCAACTACGATCCATCTACATAAAAATCACAAAATTTTGAATTTATCAAACACTAGAATATGTAATAATTTGCTGAAATATTAATTGTAACAATCCTTTTAGGGATTGGTTAACGAGGCCTTGTGCAAAAGAATAAATGTATCTATGCTGACTACAAAAGCATAGTTCTCTCAATAGTTGTCATCTTAATTGTCAATTATCAGCAAAAACATCTAATCCATATATTTTTCAATTTAAAACAACTAAATACATACAACGACATGAGCCAAAATGATATTAGTTCTAAATTTACATCAAATTCACAACATCTTAAAGCCAAAGTAACAAGTACAACGAACCTAACAAAAAGCATATCCATTTTTTACAACGAATTTATAACTAACCGGAAGAGTCGACCGCAAGGCTGTAGTAAGATTTTTGGGGATCTGCATAATAAATTAGTACTCAATTATAAGTTAAATGATGTCTAAACATATCTATATAAGCATAACTCATAGACTCATGCAAATAAACCAATTAAACTTTCATTTCTTAAAGGAGGAGAAGTGGACATGTTATTACATTTACTGGAAAAAGGACAATATGTAGTTCACAATAGTTGGACCAAGAGAGCACACCTCATTACTCAATGTAATTAATACTGATCGTGCTTCATTTATACAAATTTAAGCTCTCTTTATAATAGTCCAAAACAAGAAAACAAGAGGAAAGTGGAAGAAGTTTAAAGAAGATGGCATGAAAGAAGATGACAGCAGAATAGACCCAAAAATTAAATGTATAATATATACAGAATACTATAATATATACATGTTAATACGAGTATTTTGCTGACCCCATGTAATGATATAACGATAATTATATCAATCACTACTCAGACTTTTTAATTGATTGAACAAATGTTGCCTATTATGCAATCTTATATGCATCTATTATTGTCTTCTTATTTATGTTTAACAGACTAGCATAGCCACATATTCTAATACTTTGTGTTGGTAGGCAAGAGGTCAACCACTAGAGATTCGTATTACTAGATAGACAGAGGAGCAGAAACAAAATACTAGTTTACCACAACTAGACACACATTCTAAGTTTACCACAACTACACACACAATTGATAATATTAGTTCACCACTAATAGTTGAAAACAAGAACAACAAATCGCTAGTGTTTTTGCAGTATATTTTTGCTCCATATATATGTATGCTATTAGAACTTTTAAGCTTATGAGACCATATAATCTTACAGGAAGTTTCTGCAGCAGCCTCAATCTCAACCAGATTTCATTTTGCCTATGAACTATTTTTTTGTAAAAATCTAGAATGATGTTCAACAAGATTATGCATGACGCTTTAACAAGGCTTGGAGCAATAAACCAATGGCCCTGATGGGTTCTTAACAGATTATTGAAAGGCTTAAAAGCTAAATGTATCTGAAGAAGTAAATCATAGAGAAATATCCATTGTTGGATGTTGTGACATTTGAGTTGACTATTTTTTAGTCCCCAGTTGCATTTTGTTGAAACCAAGTTTTTAGCATCGTCGTGTTATGGTGATAGAGGCATTAGAAGCAAATCCTACATTTAACTCTGTCTCCAGCTGACCTAAACAACCTAGAGCAGACAGATGGTGTAATAATTTGTATGTGGCTTCTATATTCGCACGGCAATGTGATTTGTTAGCTTTTAGCTTACTAGCCTAATAGTTGTAGAGGTGTTCAATGTTTAATCTTCTTGTATCAAAGAGAGGGATTTTTCTGTAGTTTGCTCTGCAGGTGGGAATATGCCTTTTTGCTCAAAGTTTAAAGAGATTCTGAAGCTACCAATCAGTTGTCATGGTATTGAGTTTTTTATCAAATTCATTCTTATTATTTTTACCTCGACTTTCATACATCTCTACTTACCTAAGAACATCCTTTAAATTTCTAAAAAAATTATCAAAAACTTCTGTTACATTTTTCATCCTTTTCTAACAGAATAATCTTTATATTCTTCTCATTTTAATCGCCCATAAACAAAGACTTGTCCTAATGAACACTGTATAACCTTCTTCAACCAGTCTCCATATATGTAAACAAATATTCCCATAGCCTCGGGTACACACTTAAGCAGTACAATCACAAAGACGGGCAATTGTCTTCTAGTTTATAACTAAATGTCATTCTACTGCTGCTTCTTTTTCAAAATCAAGAATCTCTTATTGACGTATTTCTTATCTCACACTCAACTATTAATACTAATTCCAAAGGATTGATTAAATATAACAGCTACACATGATCACAAGCTGTTAAAAACTGAAAAGCTCCAAAATTACCTGTTGAAAATCGACAGATGGATTTCTCATTGATCGACAAAAATTAATGCTTCAACTAAGTGATTGAGCGCGGCTGGTGGCAGGACGAACGGCGCTGTAGTGTCGTCTACGAGCGTGGCTGGTGGCTGGCGGTAAGCTAAACCATGGGAGAATGAATTGTGGGAGAGAGAAGAGCGGGAGATATAGCTTTTTTTTATGTGATATAATATTTTGGGGAAGACGTGTGACAAGTCTAATTCGTTTTTCTTATTTTAATTGTTTTCTTTATTTTAATTATTTCCTTTTTTTAGTCAAATTTGATCAATAATATTTGAAAATAAGAGACCTCATGAAGTCTCTTGTTTCAAAATATTATTGATCAAATTTGACTAAAAAAGGAGGCATTGGGAAGTCTCAAAAATTTATTTTTTATTTTTTATTTTCCCAAATAGAGACCTCGTGAGATGACATATTTGAGGCAAAGTAGCTGTAAAAATAACTTTTAAAATAAGTGATCTATATTAAATTATTTATATATATAATCGACCTCATAAGGTCTGTTATTTAAAAAATAAAATAAAATAAAATTTAGATTTAAATTGTGACGTCATGAGGTCTCGTTTTAGCGACCTATTTTTGAGGTCTCTTTTTTTAGATCTCTTTTTTTTAGTTTTTTTAATAGTGATAGGGTGACCACAACTAAATGCATTTTGAGCTGTCTTCATTATATTTTCGACTACTTTTTCATCTCGCCTTGCTCTGTCTTCAGGATCATTACCCGTCCATTCAGGTACCATCACCATCATCCTTCTTGTCACAGATATCATGGGCATGACAGCAATGACCAACTTTTCGGTGATGATGCTGCACACATGGAAGAGCTTATCCATATTTACGCTATTATATATCCAAATTTATGATCCTCCTTTAATTTGTTTTCTCTTATATATATATATATAGGAAAACTATTGCTCTTAATGGTGAAGTCTCTGCTGAGGCTTTCTTTGTACAATATATACAAGTTAGTATACAAGGAAAACTATTAGACTCAGGTGTGGAGAGAAGTGAGAGATCTAGTTTGTGAGGAAAATTAAAGAGAATAAACAATGTTATTGTACGACATTTAAATTTAAAGTGAGTTAGAGTTTTTATTTTGAGTACTGTACTCGTCACCATTTCTCATTATTGTGGACATGAGCGGTTCAATACCCTAAAAATGAATTTCGAGGGAGGGTCCTAATTTTTTCTTAAATCTATTTTCTACCGTTCTTCGCCGCATTGTACAATATTGGATCCATTATTTATTTTTCTGATTACCAAATTCACTCAAATTATGGACTTGTGAGTCCTTTCGATGAAACATTATTATCTATCCTATCAATCTTGTAAGATAACATGAAAAATAGAATAATAACCTCCTATAATATAGTAAATTGAATTGATAACGTATACTTGAATGAATTAAGCTTTTTTTGGATGAAGAAACATATTAAGTTATTATATATACACGTGAATTAAATTCTTATAGTAGCATGTTAGTAAACTACTTATTCAAACTTACAAATCAATATTTTTGCTTTTGCTTTATTAAGCTACTTATTCTTTTTCTTTTTGTCTGTCATGGTTTGTCAGTCTGCCATGGATTTTATTGTGGAGAGGACTTCTTTTAGCAATGTAAAGTCCGATATAAGATCCTCGTCTATTTCATCCACATACTAAAAGACCCCTTAATCTCTAAGCTTGTATGAAACTTATATTAATTTACATTAGTTAAAGATGGAACTTACCAAAATAATGGTGATTATCAGCAATTCAAATAATGTCACGACTGGAATCTAGACACCAGACGAGACCGGCGTCGTTGACCTCTCAGAGGTCGCAGGCAAGCCTACTTACGTTATTCTTACTTCACATAGGTTAATTTTTAGCAAAAAATTTGAAACTTTTTGTTTCTTAACACACTTATAGAAACATTCTCATTAATATGTAAATGTTCACCGTCAACCATCTAATATTAAGAGATAAGCAACTGAAAGAAATAGTTCAATTCTTATTAAGTGTATAATTGTCAAAATGGCACCAATACATAGTCTGAATAAAAACAGGAAAGAAACGCTAGTGGAACATGCTCCACTAGCTCAACTCTAAAACTAAGCTAGAATATAAAACAGTATCATCCTCGAAAGCATGAATACCTACCAAAACTGGATGAATGCTGAACGTCCGGATAACTGCAACGATGATCCTGTAGCTCTATCGTCCACCTGTGCCTACACCTAAAATAGTAGAGTTTGTATAGTGTTAGTACACACTTGTACTAAGTATGGGAATATGCAAGCACACACCACAAACATGCATGAGAAAGAATAGCTCTTTCCTAACAACATGATTTTTGGATGTCAAGTCTGTGGACTTGACAAATTGAGATTATGAAAGTTTCTAAATTTGGATTAGGAAAGTCAATGAGCTTTCCGGATTTGGATTAGGAATATCAGTGAGCTTTCCAGATTTGGAATAGAAAAGTTATGCCATGAGAGTAACATACATCATCATACTTTTCACATTTACACACCGACCATAACATTTACACATAGAACATATCATATAGCATACAACCCATTTTGTATGTAGCACATAAATTTTAAAATATCATTCATTCATATGCCATGAGACCTTAGAATCATGGACTTAACATTAAGACATCCCAGAAATGAGGGCTCAACAGATGGGACCTCAACTAGGGAGTCTTCATTAGCAAACATAGAATCTGCTTCGTTCATTCATACGTACTCCATTTCATTTCATTCATAGGCTAGTGTAAATACCAGTTATACCTAGGATGTAGTATAAGACTTTCATCAGGTTCGTTGTGCAATGACCAAGAATGACCTAATGTCATTACTTGAGTTTAACTCACCTTTTGATTATCCTATCGTAACACCTTTGATATCATTCATTTCATTATGTGCATCATTTAAGGCTGATCTCATTCATTCATTGGGAACTTTAACTTTAACCGACATAGCTTATGTGAGCATCATGAAATCCAGTGTCTCCCCCACACCTAAAGAGGTGGAATCACCGGCCAAAGTGATTCATAACATGCTAGCGTACATGGGAATTTAACCCTGCCAGATCCCTATATTGGTAGTATAGGTTTGAATACTAGGAGATATAAGGAGACCCATACCCGGCAAGCCGGACAGTATCATCTCATGAGATTTACGTGAACTTCTGTCCTTCCCGAAAGAAGGCATCACCGCTCATAGCTAGCCTATCGGTGCTTAGTATAAAGTTCCATTACATTCATCTCATACGTCATGGAAGTTGACTTCTAGTATGAGGACATTATAGCTCATTAGATGATTTCTAATCTCATCATTAGTATTGAGTGTGTTAAGATCAATACTGTCATTAGATTGTTCATAGAGACTGATATATTCATTATCTTACACTCTCATAGGTGAGTACGTATTGGTAACATTTACTTAGGCTCATTTGAGATTACTCTCATCATTTACATTAGTCTCATATCATGTTGTCACCACATTCATTATCATTAGCACCTTTGTTTTTCATAGTTACTCACCTTTTATTACGTGAATGTTCATTTCATCATATGCCAATACACTTGGCCATTTAGTGTGTTTCACACCCTTTCTTAACCATTCTAGGGTTTCATCATTTCATTGTTCATCTCATCATATGCCAATGCACTTGGCCATTTAGTGTATCTTACACTCATACTTAACCCTTCTAGGGTTCATCATTTCATTACATACATCTTAGGTTCACTTACTTTTGAACGTATGTTAGACTTATGTGTCTATACATACAAGCCATGAGGCTTCATTCATAGTTCGTTAAGACTTCCTACATTCCTAAGATTATGTAGTACAAAAACTATGTATCTTGTATATATGTCAAGATCTTGATTTGATCTAAGTAAGTGGCATTATTCTTGGGTATTTTGTTCACGTATAACTTATATATCAATGCGGTAGTTTGGGCAAGGGAACCCAAGTTTGAATATATTGAATAACAATTTACATTTTCATTGATTTTATTTTTAATCCCCATAATATTGGGACTCTAGATTAAACCCCAACATTAATAATATATCTTTAATTCTCTACTTGGTTTTCCTTTTAAATTGGCCGAAGGGTTGTGGGTTCGAACCCCCACAACTCCTTTTTATTTTTCATTAACATCACATGGCCCTTTGTCGCCCAAACCAAGAGGTTATGTGATCAAACCCCCACAGCCTCTTTCATTTATTCTCTATTTTCTCTGGACATTGGGAGGTTGTGGGTTCGAACCCCTCATAGCCTCCTTATTTTAGTTTTAATTTCGCTAGGCTGTGAGGTTGTGGGTTTTTTAATTAAAGATTTCTTAACTAGGTGCCTTGGCAGTGAGGTTGTGGGTTCGAGCCCCCACAACCTCACTTTATTTTCTTATTTAATTTTGCCATTCTCCTCTCCAACCTTGAGGTCGTGGGTTCGATTCCCATGCCTCACATTTTCTTTTCTTTATTTTTATATTCTTTTACTTGGTGCCTGGAGGTCGTGGGTTTGATTCCCACACCTCCCATTTATTTAATTAAATCATTTTCCTCTACTTTCTCAAACTAGTGGGCCGAGTTCGATTCCCCCCAGCCCCATTTTCGTCTCCTTTTCTCGCGAATTCCAGTAGCCAAAAGGTGAGGTCACAGGTTCCAATCCTGGTGGCCTCAACTCTTTAAAATGTATTAAATTTCCAGATTTTCATTATTAAACTTTCGTCTAATTTAACCTTGCATAGTTTCTGGAAATTTTGGTCATTTTTGATTTATTTTTATCAACGTTTTAACTTGACTCATAGGGTGTATTCATATACCACTTTAACACATCTTTAGGTGTATTTTTCATGAGTTTATTTGGATAAAAGATTGTCACTCAATCAGCCACATTTCCTTAAATGGACATCACGATTTTCATGGATTTATGCACACAAAACAACTACTACAACCTTATGAAATTTTGAGCATCAAGCAAAGGCCCTTGCCACATTCACAAACTTGCACATAACTTCAAACACACATTGATTGTTATTTTCATGATTTCACGTACATAAAGATATTCACATTCAACACAAGAATATCACACATACCTAAATCTACCACCAAACATACCCAACCTACGAATTATTGGGAGCTAGTGATAGGGACATGAGGGGAAAACAATCCTAGTTTTCGGACTGAATAACTGAATCTTAAGAGGTCTCTTGGGAAAGGGACCAAGAGGAAAGAAACCCATACCTTATTTGATTGCTCAAACGTCGAAGTTGCTGCCCAAAACCCTCTCCAAAATCAGTCCAAGCTTCCACAATGTCCACAGCACTCGACGGACAACTTCCCTTTGCCTTAACATTTTTGGTTACTTTGTTTTTATTGAAATTTCATGTGAGTTCTTCAAGTGTGAAGAACTCTTAATATTATTTCAGTTCTTGAAGCTGTTTTGGCAGAAACAAACGTGAGGGTGAGAATGATGAGCGTGAGAGAGAGAGAGAGTGAGAGTAGTAAAATAATAGGAGTTTTAGTTTGGGAATCAGTCAAACTAGGACTCCTTATTAATTTAAATAAAAACCTGATTTAATTGGCTTAGTGAAAGGACCATTTTTCCCTTGAAATTTTAGATTTTAAATAATAAATAAATCGCCTTAAGTATTTATCCTATTTATTTTTAGGGTTGTTACATTATCCCCCCCCCCCTTAGGAACATTCGTCCCCGAATGGCACTACCACTACACATCGTAATGCCAATAAGATCATGACATAATCACTATGCACAGTCAAGCAATAACAACAAAATACAGAGAGATAAGAAAAAAATAGACTTAAGAGTAGGAAATCTAACCTCAAGAGCTAAAACGATGAGGGTAGCGGGATCTCATGTCGGCCTCGACCTCCCACGTACCACTCTCAACAATATGATTTCTCCACAATACCTTCACTGTGACAATCTCCTTGTTCCTCAGCCACTTGACCTGTTTGTCTAAGATCTCAACAGGTATCTCCTCATAAGACAAGTCTTCATCAACCCCCAAACCTTCCACAGGTAGAATCGATGTTGGATCACCTAGGCACTTCTTCAACATAGAGACATGAAAGACTGGATGGACAGAAGCTAGCTTCGCAGGCAATGCTAACTCATAGGCCACCCC